AAAAAAAAAAAAATTACCCTTCGGTCACTCCACTTTTTGGGTTCTGGTCATTGTCTTATGACAGCAAGTCGGCAATATTGCTCTCTGTCACACAGCCACTTTTTTCACGGAGACGCAAAAACGAGAGAGAGAGAGAAAATTTTTATTCTCTCCCCAATTCCTCTCAAACCTTAAATCCGACTCCGCTCTGTGGGTTCTGGAGATGATTGTCTCCAATCTCCCGAAGGAGAAGACCTCTAATGGTCCCGGAACATCTCGCGACTGCTCCAAACGTCGTACGACCCATTCGTCAGCGAGTCAACAACGACCTCTTCATGTTCGACCAAGCGTTTATCCCCGTTGTAGTTAAATAAGGTCTTATGAACAATTTCTTTCTCAATTTCGTTGTAGTTAAATTTTGTATATTAAAATTTTAGTTTCTCAATGTGTCGTTTTGTGATGGGATAATGGAGCTTTATATCTTGTTTATTCATAGTGCTAATGGCACTACCTATATGTTAATGTTCTTTAATGGTTTTGTTAGATAAAACAAGGTCTAAGTGGCCATGTGAGACTTATTCTATCTGGAGCTTGCACCTCTTGCCTCCCATGTAGAAGAGTATCTGCGAGTAATTTCATGTTCTTTATTTCTTCAAGGATATGGTATTTGTTCTTCTTGCTAGGACAGTTATCTATAATTGGTTTTTGTTTTCTTCACTGCTAGCAGTATTTTATCTGTATGTGAGATGACTTTTATATTTGTTCTTTATAGTGAGCTACCACATTATGTAATACTGATGAGTGAATCACCACCACTACCACCAATATTATTGTCATAGTTGCTGCTATGAAGACTGGTTACTATGTATATAAGTTAGGATTTGTCTTAATATGGCTTCATGTTTCATTATCTATATAAGTAATGATTTGTAGTAATATGATTTTCATGTTTCATTACCTATCTAAAATTGGGGTTTTGATACTGACTTGATCATTATTTCTCTGTATTATAGTTAACTGCAGCTTTTGTGTTAAAGTTGAATTAGAAACCTCCCTTTTGTGGTGCCCCTACTTGATGTCAGTTTATCCATTCATGAGTTGAACTTCAGATGATCATATTTTTTTTTTTAAAAAAAAAAAGAAATCTGTTGACTAACACTGGAATAGTTTTTCCTTCAAAGCAGATGTCAGGGGCCGGGTTTCGGAGCCTGGAGATTGTCTTTTACATGGCCATTGTTGATATTAGGTCGGGAGAGGCAAGAGCAGCACAGATATTTCTACGCGTAAACCTGTCTGTTGTTCGGTTTTGCTCGGTTTGCTGATATTAGGTCCTTTACATGGCCATTGTAAGATCAGTCAATGAGATTTCTTTTGCTTTGTGGCTTTGAGTGATTTCAGGTACCTGGACTAGCCGTGGTAATTGTGGTGCAGAGGAAAGATTCACAGAGCTATGTCAATATCAAAAGGAAATCCTGTGCTGAAGTTGGTATCAACTACATCGATTTCGACCTTCCTGAGGATGTATCCGAATCTAAGTTGATATCCAAAGTCCATGAGTTTCATGGTTTGTTGAGTTTGAATTTTATTCGAGTTTTCTTTTTATTTTATTTATCCTACATTCTTGTGACATGATTGTGTTAAAATCCATTGAGTGATTACCTAAAAACATATAATCTATTCTCACAACAATCTCATAGATTTCACTTTAAGAAGACAACTTATGTTTACCATTAAATTATATGGTCGTTGATTGTTGCCTGGAGATTGAGTAGTGATTACCTAAAAACATATAATCTATTCTCACAACAATCTCATAGATTTCACTTTATGAAGACAACTTATGTTTACCATTACTTTATGATCTATGATGTTTGAAATATGTGTTTTCTTCTTGAGATAAATAAAATGCAAGGTTTTAAATAGCGGGCTAAAACGTTTATGGCACTGTAGCTATAGCGGAGCTATAGCGGAGATTTAGCGGGATTTAGCGGCTAAATTGCACATGAATACAAATAGCGACACGCTGCCAAAAAAAGCTATTTCTCAAATAGCGGCAACTTTAGCGAGCTATTTATTTCCTTGATAAAATGCAATAAAATTGAAAACTGAAGATTGTGTCTATGGTTGTTACAGGTATATTGGTACAACTATCATTACCTAAACATATAAATGAGGAGAAAATTTAGAGTGAAATATCGCTCGAAAAGGATGTCGATGGATTTCATCCCCTAATAATTTTTTTTATGGGTTTAGAAGTAGTGTATATATTTTAACAAACTTTTATGTTCTTTAGAGGGGTAAGGGATTTGCTTTAGAAGCACAACTCGCAAGGTTTCTCGGGTGCGTCAACGCCCCTGATGAATAAATCCACGTCGTCATCTCTCGGCCTCCTCATAGAAATCGTAGAGATTTTTCGCGGCGTATCACGTTATGTGTATGCCTCTTTTTTCTCTCTTCGAAAAGACCTTTATTTTTGTACTTCTTATTTGCGGAGGAATCGATGTGGGGTCAGTGGTCTAGATGTTTCTTTTAATTTTCTTGCCGCAATTTTCATGTTAAGGTTTGTGTGAGGTAGATTTCTCATGTTTTCATTTGGATTCTTTTGAAATTGAACCTAGAGTTGAATCTGTTTCTTCATGGAAATGCTTGTAGCAAACAAAATATTGACTTTGAATGTAAGTTAGTAAGTTCCATGTGTGTGTGGTGTGTGTTTGTGTGTGTGTGTTTTCCTTGTATGGAAATTAGAAGCTGACAATCCGATATTAATATTTGGGGTAAAGTATTTACCTTCATTATTTTTATTTTACATTTTTGTTGGATTAACTATTGTTGTATGCTCTTACCTGAATTTAAAATTAATGGCTTAGACATGATTGGAGTTAATGTTGGAGTTTTTGTGGTATTGCTGGTTAAGAAATGTGTTATTGAGATGAGAGCTGGAGGGTGTAAATTTCCCCCTAGGCTACTGTTCTGTTTCGTTTTCTCTTTGTTTGCAACTGCGATTTTTTTTTTTCAATGATTTGGGAATAGTGATCTGGCGATTTTTTTTTTTTCCAATGCTTTGGGAATAGTGATCTGGCGATTTATTTTTTCAATGATTTGGGAATGGTGATCTGCCGCCCGAGTTGCTGAGATATTTTCCAGCATCCTCGTGGTCATCATTGATGTCATCGACCAGAATTGGATATATCATTCTCCCATTTTTTTTTTTTTTTTTTGTTGATGAATTTTGCTTGGTTATATTCATTTTTTCTATAGATTAATGTGTGATGAGCCGATTTGCGTATTTGTGTTGATTAATTGTCTTTTTTTGGCTCCCTTAATTAAGAACTGGGTATAGCATTCTCTGCATAGTGTTTGAATGTTTGTGATGTTTATAGTGGTTCGTTTGATTTTTATAATAGTTTTTGTTCAATAATTTGCTTGCCACGCTTTAGGTTCTTATAGATGCCCCCAATATGGTAAGAAGCCAACTTCAAGAGAGTTTTTTCTTACGGATATCAGTAGTGATATAAAAAAGGTCCTGAAGAAGACTTTGATAACTGCTATGGAAGCAGCTGGTATGCATTTTACTTTGGAAAAAAATTACTCTACCTTTTGAATTCGTTGATAGTGAAGATTGCTTAGTTTCTTTACGAATTTTTCTGGCAGATGTCAATAGAAAATGGTAAAAGAGCTCTTGGGGGTAGAAAACTTATTGTTCAAAAGTAGTGTTATTAATGGCAAAAGGTCTGCCAAAATTCCGCCATAACCGTCGTGGCGGCCTATTGCGCCACCATGACTGCCAAAATTTTGCATAAGAAGGAAGAGAAGACTAGCAAGTTTTGTACGTTATGGAGTTGAGCTGCATAATTGACCAAAGAGTGAGATAATTGTGATTGTGGACAGTGAATGAAATGAGTAAGAGAAAGTGTACCCACGAATTCACAATGAGGATGCTGAAAATTTTTTGTAACTTGGTTGATAGTTGGTCTCCCTTTATTCATTCAAAAATTTACAATACGGGTATATTTTATTTTCAGTCGAATAGGCCACTAACTTTCAATTTTTGTGCTTGAATCCAATGAGATTACTGCAACATCATTTGGTGTTGACTATGAAAAGAAGCCACATTGAGTGAGCATATTTTATAACTGCTTATTTCTTATACGGAAACATTTTTTTATACAGATCTATAATTCTGACTGCATTTAAAGTCGAACGAGTATGAAAAAATTTTCTTTTCTTGGGGGTCACTTCAATGCATTTCTCGTTCAAAATATTTTTTTTTTTCTTGGGGTAACTTCAATGCATTTCTGGAGTTCTCATATCTAAGAAAACAACAATCGTAAAGTAACTTAGAATTTGTGATGCCACATATTAAATTGATATCATTTGTAATGTATAAAAAAAATATCAAACTCGGGCCTACAAAGGATCTTTTAAACGACAATGGCAATGTAGATTGGTGTACTTAAGTTCACATTCAAAATGATTATTTTCCATGTAGAAAAAATTTCTTAGTTGCTTTACTTCCATGGATGAGAAAAAGTTCGATGCTCTTTCCAAAATCATATTACATATGTTAACAAAGTCGATTTTTATAATTACTTTGCATTCTAGAATTTTTTTCTAATTCATTAGATTGACAATTTCGAAATTTTTGTCCTCACGCGCACTAACAATTCCACGAGGTATGCATATAGAGTTCTCTTTTTATTCTTTC